ACACGATTTAGCCTACTATTTTTTTCCTGCATGCCATGTGCGGGGCTCCGTAGGTAGATGAATATGAAACAAGGGTGGACATTTCAGCAAGACAATGATCCCAAATACAGCCAAGGAAACTCTCAATTGGTTTCAGAACAAGAAAGTAAAGCTGCTAGAATGGCCCAGCCAATCACATGACTTGAATCCAATAGAAAATCTATGGAAATAACTAAAGATCAGAGTTCATAGAAGAGGCCCATGGAACCTTCAAGATTTGAAGACTGTTTGTGTGGAAGAATGGGCCAAAATCAGTGCTGTGTGCAATCAGTGTAATGAATGATGGGATATGTAGTCCGGGGTGATATGCAACAGTGTGTAGTGCGAGAGTCAATGAAAATGGAAAGGGTGACCTCTAATGGCTAGCAGACGGAAGTTCATGGGCCGGATACATAACATGTTCAATACTTATTTTACCCGCTGTATACGTTACCATATATATATGGGTCTCTTTTTTAACATCTCTTATCCTCACCAAGGCTGCATTTATTTGAACATAAATGCAGTAAAAATAGTAAGGTTTTTATGTTCATGTGATGACAAAGCTGGATTTTTAGCAGCCATTACTTCAGTCTTCAGTGTCACATGATCCTTCAGAATCATTCTAATATGCTGATTTGGTGCTCAACAAATATTTCTTCTTATTATTTAATGCTAGAAACAGTTGTGTTGCTCAATATTTTTGTGCAAATGTGATACATTTTTTGAATTCTTTGATGAATAGAAAGTTCAAAAGAACAGCACTGATTGGAAATAGAAATCTTTTGTAACATTATAAATGCGCTTACTGTCACTCTTGGTCAATTTATTAATTCTTTACAAAGATGCAGATGCCACTCTTTTTTATATTTTCAATTTCATACAATGACATTCAGACATCTTTAAGTGTTTTAACTCAAGTGACCAAATATTGCACAAATTGTCCAAATATATTTAAATAAATGCAAATTTTTATAGGTGGAATTTTGCATTTTGAGAATTTATATCTGAAGTTATATATAAAGAATTTATATCTGAAAATTTTGGGATAAAATATTAATCGAAAGCATGCATTTCTTTGAATTTTATTTCTACATCAATTGTCCATTACAATTGCCTTCTTTACGACCTCAATTCAAATTTAGAGCTGAATTAGAATTTAAAAGGTATTCTCAATCTAATTCAGGACATTACAGGTGTATCCTGAGTTGTTCAGCTGTCAGACTGGTGGACGATGTCAACAGTGTTGGTGTCTAGCTGTATAGACACTAATGCTTTCATTATTGTAATCTGTGCTTAGTGTGTCACTCCATTGCTCCCCGTCTGTAGCACTCTTTCCCTCCCTCAATCCCTTGATCCTTTTATAGGCTACTGAGAGTACAAGTGCTCTCTGTCCTTGAACCTTCTCTACAAACAGGTTGGCAAAGGTAACTGTAAACAAATGCATTGCCACCTCATGCAGACGCTTTGCTGAACTGAACTTAAGTAATCTTCATGCTCACTGTTTATGATGTTTGTTGCAATTATAACACCAGAGCCATTTGCCCTCAGGTAACCCCTAATTTGTTTTAAAGTTGGAAGACAAATTAAGCAGACAGATCAAGCATTTCCTCACCTAGGCCTAGTAGACTACTGATATATGATTAGCTCTTACTGGACGTCATTCTGTGTCTGTAGCTGAATAACAAATTATACAAAAATATTTGCCTGCTGAATGACCAAGTATCTTAGAGAGCCATGTAATACATATGAGCAGTAAAGCATATGAACAGAAATGCAAAACCGGAATATGCCAGATAGGCTACAGTGTTTTGAAGGGTTTTCACTGCTAAAATGTGTGATCGTAAACACAGCCGTAGTCTATTGCATATATTAGGCAGTTATTTTATTCAATACTTTATCAGACTTAATTTGATCCTTTCGGCGTAGAACTGTGCACAAAATCTGACTCTTCTTGCTGTTGAGAGCAGCAACAAAATTTCTCTCTCTTTAAAAATGACCTTGAAAATTAGAGTTATAGTAAAAGAGTTATAGTAAAAGATGTGTTTTTTTCTTTTCTTTGATACAAATAAAATGCATCCTGTTTTTGGTTGTGTATATTCATGCAAGGAGAATTCAGGCTGCCTCACGTACATTTTTAAAATTGCTCTAATATGCAGGAGACACACAAGTGCGTTAAAAAATTCATTTGCTCTGTCAGAAGAATGGTGATAGGCCGTTGCACTTAGAGTCTATTTAGAGTTTCAAAAGGTATGCTAGTGGGTGGTGTGCCTGTTTCTCACATGCTGGTTGACTCTTTTGCCACATTGATACATAGTAACACTCCTAGCTGCATTGTGTTATTGTACACACCCAAAAATTTCCTGTTACAGCATAAGCCTGTTACTTCAATACCACGACTGAGGTGCCCTTGAGCAAGGCACCGAACCCCCAACTGCTCCCCGGGCGCCGCAGCAAAAAAATGGCTGCCCACTGCTCCGGGTGGACTATAACTCACGCAAACGCTTATGTAACACCACATAAAGCCATCCATTTACCTCATAAAATGAAAACGCTCTCATTATCATCATACCATAATTCTCACAGCCAACTTTTTCCACATGCATCCATTAATGTGATGGAAATGTCACAAAAGAAAGTAAGTTATGGGCATCTGTTGTGCTCTTGAGGTCTCTTCCCGTTTCATCAGGAGAATGACCGATAGTAACCTCGTCCTCAGCAGGAATGCGTGAGCGTGTCACAGCAGCGCCTCTGTTCAGCTTGCTGTCGAGCAAGTGGCACAAGATACAGTTTTCATAAACTCCTATATATTCCCCATCCATGCTCTGGATTACCCTGAAGACACTTACATTCATCTTCTATTTTTATACTTTTGCTAGGTTTTTCTC